CTACAGCCTGACAGCCGTTCCAACAAGATACATCTGGACCTGGTAGGACTCTTACCGATTTCTCAGGGACACCGCTACATCCTAACGTGTGTCGACAGATTCACAGGATGGCCAGAGGCAATCTCACTGCCCGATATCACCGCCGCCACTGTCGCTGAGGCGTTCATCGTTACGTGGGTATCCCGGTTTGGATGCCCCTCAGAGATTGTCACCGACAGGGGTCGACAATTTGAATCGGCAATCTTTTCCGAGCTCACTCGATTGCTCGGAACCAACCGTTTGAGAACGACTGCCTACCACCCACAGTCGAACGGGATGGTAGAACGATTTCATCGACATTTGAAATCGGCCCTTGCAGCTCAGGGTGGTCCCTCGGATTGGGTTCGTCATCTTTCCTTTGCGCTTCTTGGAATCCGGACAGCCTTGAAGGCGGACATCGGATGCTCCACCGCCGAACTTGTGTACGGCACTGCACTTCGCTTGCCATCAGATTTTTTTGAAATCGAACTGCCTCAACAACAAAGGCAGTTGGACTATGTAGAAGAACTGAAGCAAATTTTTATCAACTTGCGACTGGTGCCTACACGGCAAGGAACTTCAAAGTCTCCCTATATGACCCAGGACCTCCAAGACGCCACTCATGTTTTCGTACGACAGTCACAAAAGAAGTCACTGCGCCCACGTTACATCGGGCCTTTTCCAGTCGTCGAAAAGAGAAGCGACACGTTTGTCCTGGGTGTCAACGGCAAGAACGACACCGTTGCATTGGAAAGACTAAAGCCGGCACATATTGAGCAAGCGCATGTGCAGGAAATAGCGCTACGTGACATCGACCAGACGACAGAGAGAAGCCAACTTCGTTGGCACCCGGATGTCTGTGTGTTTTGATCGTTCGTCCTACCTCCTCTCTAAGGGGGGGTGCATATCTGTAGGGACTGGACGCACCGACAAGCGAGTCCAGTCTCGGCACTGGAAAAAGAGAAAAATACGCGCGCGCTAGCTATACGCTCACGCGCTCACGCGCTTACGAAGAGCAGTTCCTGACGAGACACGACTGAAATAGAACGTGGTTTTGGAACGTCCGTCTCCTGCCTGTTTCTTTCACCACAGTAGTAAGCCGCTAAAGTACGTATCAAAGACTACAGACAAGAACACTAAGGTTTTTCAGTAGGGCCAAGAAAAGTCCGGAATATTTTTGCAGTTAGTCAATCGTACATTAGCTATACATACATAGCTTACATAGCGTACATAGCTTCCGCGATCACGCATGTTTCAGTTTACGCGATAGCGAAGCCGAAGCTACTCGCAAAAGCACGTCTTCCTGAAAGATGCTCGCACTGCACGAGCGCGCGTGCTTGACAGGGACGCTGAAAGCTCGCAGCTCGCTCTTGTAGCCTCTGCTACGCTGGCACTTAGAATGGAACGGAGTAGGAAAAAACTCTAGTGGGGAAGCGTATTGACGCACGTTCGAAACCCGAGCCAAATATTCTATTTTGCTCACTTTGAGCGCTGCTTAAAACTTGAGAGCTACGGGCCTATAACGTTGTAGGTATAGGCAATAGTCTATTTCACCTCACTATGCTTGCACCCCATTGCGCCTAGCGTATGCGGATCGGTAGTACACACTCTTTTACACTTGTGCCCTCTTCGAAGGACCTGACGACTTTGACATCGCCACTGAAATCGTCCAAGAGGTCGTCCCACACGTCGTCCTCGACATCGACCTCGACGTCGTCTATGAGGTCGTAATAGAAGTCGTCTTTGAGATCGGCCTAGAAGTCGTCTTAGAGGTTGCCTAGACGTTGTGTTCGACATCGTTGTTGAGGTCTTCCAAGAGGTCGTCTTAGTGATTGTTTTAGATCTTGTCTTTGAGGCCGACCCCTAGGACGTCGTCCTCGCCGTCGCCGCAGACGGCGTTTATGAGGTCATCCTAGAGACCGTCTTAGAGGTCGTCCTTGGGGCTGCTCTTGGCGTTGTCCTAGAGGTCGTCTGTGACGTCGTCCTCGCCGTCGTCCTATACGTCGTCCCTCGACGAACTCTTAGACATTGTTGTTCTAGACGTCGCCCTTTTAGACGCCAAATTTAGTACAAAAATCGACGTCGTGACGTATGCACCAATTTAGTTTCCCCGCTAACCGCTCATTCACACTGGAAGCGGATCCGCGTTCGCAAAGCGGTTGCGAACGCGGTAGTATAAAGATCCAGTGCAATGTCACGCGCACCCGATGACATCAAGTGTGCGTGCAATCGTACTGGATCTTTATACAACCGCGTTCGCAACCCCTTTGCGAACGCGGATCCGCTTCTAGTGTGAATGAGAAGGTAAGTGTGGCAAGGTGCAACGATAAATGCTATCGCACTCGTAGATAATAACCCGTTTTTTTATAGAGCGCAGCTCTTAGGCGCCCTTTTACGGCGTCGGCGTCGCCGTTGCCGTCGCCGCGTGGTTACACCGTCGGCGTCGGCGTCGCCGTTGCCGTCGGTGTAACCACGCGGTGCATATGGGACGCCTGACGTCACTGATGACGTCATCGTCATCGTTACTGATGACCTTATCAGTGACGTCACTGATGACGTCATCGGCATCCGCATCGTCAGCGCCAATGATGACGTCATTAATGACGTCACAAATGACGTCATCAGTGATGTCACTGATGACGTCATCGGCATCCGCATTGTCATCGTCACTGATGACATCATCGGCATCGGCATCGGCATCGTCACTCATCAGTGACGTCACTGATGACGTCATCGGCATCCGCATCGCCATCGTCATCGTAACTGCTGATGTCACTAGTGATGATAACGTCATCAGTGACGTCACTGGTACGTCACTTATGACATCATCGTCACGTGGCCTCATAGGGGCCACGTGACCCCCGTGAGGTCACGTAACCCCAGTGAAGTCATGTGACCCTCGTGAGGCGGCGGCGACGCCGCTCAGAGGGAGGAGTAGCAGACAGAATGAGGAGGTGGGGAGGGAGGAAGGATATACCTTCCCTTCCCAGTACCCTTCCCCTTCTCAAGAGCTGGGCTCTAATTCGACGTTACAGGGATTTGTAAACGGGTTTCATTCTTTTATATAACTTGTAAAAGTTGTCTACCAAACCACTTGTGAAAGTTGGTACCGTCGGTTCAACGTCAGTGTGCTGTACGTCGAACTGAAGTTTGGTGGCGCATGATATGCGAAAAGGGGTGTAAGAATATGCCCTTTTTTTAGTGTGTGAAGGCGGACCCATGGTTGGTGATCATGATGTCTGGAATCTTTTGCCCGAAAACAATGTATTCGACAAAGCACTTAGCAGCTTTCACGGCAGTCCCGAAGGAAGGGGCCTTCGTCTTGGTGTATCGCGTCACATATCCTGCTGCGATGATAGTACTTTAGTGGTTTCCCGACACCGACGTAGGGAATGAAATTAACAAACCTCATTGCCCACCGGTGTCCCAATGGTCCGATAGGCTAAAGATGCCCCACAGGCTGTAGGGCATCTGTAACCACTCCCGCGGGTTCGGATGTGGTAAAGGACGGACTTCTAGAGTCTCGGCCAGTAGTAGATTTCGCTAATGCCTGGTAGCTTGCGAATGTAGCCAAGGTGCCCATGAACGAATTCTCGTGGCAAGCCTTCAAGATTTCCTCACGTTGCTCCTCCGGCACAAAAAAGACTCACGACTAGTCGCCACCTTAGAAGGCATACTTGTAGAAAACACCGTTTTGCAGGCAAAAAGTAAGTAGCATACGCCCTCCAAAAAATAGAAGAACCGTGTCTTTTTGCCAATCCAGGTGTCTACCACCTCGCTAAATACCGAATCCTGCCGCAGCCCGGTCGCCATATTTGTAATTTTTAGTGCTTCATGAGAAACGTGTTCGGTGCTCGACTGAGTTTGTCCGCATCGATGGCACAGGAGGTCGACGTCGTTGTGCTGCTAAAGGCCTAAACCATAGGCTATCGAAACGTCGAACTCTTGCAGCCACAGTCTCCAACACGTTAGTAACCCCGCAGGGTCCTTGAGGCTGGCGAACCAAACCAGCAGGTTGTAACCAGGGACTACCCGGAACCGGCATTCATGCAGGTAGAGTTGAAACTTTGACGCTACCCAGACTACTGTTAAGCATTATTTTTGCGATGTCAAATCGTTGCTCGCCGCCTTTGAAATTGCGCAACTTGCAGATACGATAGTTCGCTCGGCCAAGTCCTGCTTCTGCACCAGCTCTACTCCAGGTCCTGGGTTTCTTTTTTTTATATGAATATCTGTTTTGGCATTCTGGTCAAAGTGGCCATGAACCTGAGGAGTCAATAGACGTCGCAATGGAATATCTTGTGAGGTGAATGAACAGCGAGGTGATCCAGAAGAAATTCTCAACAAAACGCCTGCAGAAGGCGCAGATACCCTTACATTTCGTGACGTCCTTTTATGGCATGGAGAATATGGCGACTATTTTTCTTGTGATCCGGACGAAAACATTCGTAGCTTTTGACGTGACCAAGATACTTTAGTTTCTCATTAGCTTCGTCGAATTCAGAGCGAGGCCGGCGCTGCTTGTATCCTGGAGTGCCGCCTTGAGGTGCTAAGGGTGCCCACAGAAGGTTTTGAAGAAAGAAATAACTTTTTTCGAGGTAAATGATGCATGTTTATGGTTTACCTTTTAAAGGGGTATTAAAGCGAAAGCTTTATAGGGCCAAAAAACGTCAGGAAGTACGCGTCATTTATCGCCCCAAATACCCTTATCTAGATGTGTGCACACTCCAACGCAACCTTGGAATAATCAGCCAATAGTGTATCACTTGGTTGATGCAAATCAACATTACCATAACAAAGTCTCTATCTTTCACCACCAAACTAAATGTTGATCGTCGCGCGTAAGCTATTGAAGAAAACCAGATTGAAAATGTTACATCAATCCAATATCTCTATTACTATAAATAAAATTGAACAAAGAAACAAGGGATCAACATTTAGTAGAATAAAATTATGAGTGTTGATAAATGTGGTTTACTCACCTGCTTTTAATCAAATTAAATAACAAAGAGCCGCTTTTCTTAGTGTCCTCTAACTTGTACTGTATAATAATGGGAACCATATCCTTGCACAAATCCTTGTATCTTGAATAGCCTTAGTAAAAAAAATCCAAAGGGTTATATTTGGCTTATTCATATGTTTTACGGCACTTAGTATTGACGGAGCTTTTTGTTGCGTCAGGCGTGCATTCGAAGTCTCAATAAGGACGTACTTCAATCATGATATCTAAAAGAAAGCTCTAAAATAATAACCACGTAATTACGATGCCCTACATACAAAACTGCGTTACCAACCTTTAAGGTATATTTTAAAAGTATTCCGGTTGTGTAGCCGCTGATTAATTATAACAGCTTAACCCGGTGTATTTTGCGTTGAAAACATACCACTAAACAAAACGGTGGCCTTGAATTATATATGCATTAATAATTTATACCAAAGAAATGCCTGTCCGTGCTTTTTCATAGCTAGTAATAAAAAACTACTCAAGCGTTTGAGCGCATGGATATCTTACAATGACGGAAAACAGCCCCAATACTTTTGCATAAAGTTAACCGCACAACACATAAAACACCTCATTGCCCAAAAAGTCGTTAAGCCTTTATCAGGTTTTATGTTCTTTTTTTTGCACTTGACCTTAACTAGATAGTTTGGGACTCCACTATTGGTACATAAATGTGCAATAAAAAACGTCCTTTTTTATTAAATACTATCTACAGCGTTTTGAATGCGGTCATCAAACTCAGGAGTTATTAACAACAGGGATGGGCAAAATACATGCAAATATGTATCGAAATACAACTACAAAATACTTCGTCAAAAATGTATTTATTTACAAATCTAATTACAATCCAAAAAAGCGTTTAAGTACAAGATACAAATACAACCAAATGTATTTGGTCTCCTCCAAATACTTTTCCAAATACATTCCTCAAAATTTGCGTCAGCGACTTCAGGGCACCTGCAACGGGTTTCTGGGTATCTCATTTTAATTTTGCATCGCACACTTGGGAGTTAGTGGGCGATGCTCTAGTAACGTAATAGAAATATAATCATCCAAAAAAAATGCAATCAGCTTGGGCGTAATAGGTGAAAAAAGTACAGAGCTTCAAGCAGCTTTTTTTTTGTTGATTACGTTTTGGTATAGACCAACAAAGAACCGAGACGACCAAGACGCGCAGCACTAGTTAGAGAATTTGTTATTGTTGCAACTCGCACCAGTTACGAAAATCTGGATGACTCGCGCATTTAGAATGTTCCGCAAAAATATGGATGGAAATCAGGCTGGAAAGCACCACAAGTTGTCACAGGCACTTATTTAGCCAGTCTGCCGGTGAACGTCGACTCCGTCACCATTCTTGCCCTGGACTAGCACCGTAATCACAAAGTCACTAAACGCTTGTGCTTGATTGAGAGACACTGCATTCGGTTCAGAACGCAGTTTTCTTCATGCTCTGGACACGTCTTAGGATGAGCAAAATGAGACGTGACAATAAATTTGAGGGATGTATTTTCGCCCACAAAATTGTGTTTAATTACAATTGTATTTCAAATACCCACGTTTTAGTATCTAAATACACACGTCAAATACATCACCCAATTTGTAATTAAATACAAATGCAAAATACACAAAGTACTTGAAATACGTATTTCAAATATTTGTATCTGAAATAATGCCCATCCCTGATTAACAATATAAAAAATAATATTATCCGATAAAACGGATCAACGTACGTGTTTTTGGATTTATACTAATGAATAGGTAAAAAGCTGCTGCAAGTGTGGCGGACCTTTCTTCGAGGTATAACAGATGTTTTAATGGCTTTACAGTATTATTCGTGGGGTATGTATGTTTACATAGCTGGATGTTATTCCAATTTTAAGGGTGTCTGGTGTCTCAACTGTAGATGAGAAGTCTCAAAATTTTTCCGGTGCAATACAACCGCTAGCCTGGTGTTCTTGACGTACACCACGCGGTAGTCATACACGACGGCATTACGGTACGATGCTCATCCAAACAGAAACGTGCAGGGGTGTAGATTAACCCAAGGATCCCTGGGCTCTGGTGCGTGAGCTTCCGCTACAACTGCTCCGAGCTGAGGTGCGCTAACCCATTCGGCCGCCGATTTCACGGCTTGTTTTATTAAAACAAAACTCGTTTAGTCTAAAAAAACAGCCTGTATAATTAACCTTGTTCCTGCTAAATTGGATGTGAGATGAACTGAATTAATATTTTTCGAAGAACAAGATCACCGACTTTTTGGGCATTTGCGATTGAAAAGCCTCAAGTCTCAAAATAAGCCTTTCCCGTGTTAGGACTGCTGCCATTTGTCTTTCATCTCGGTATTAATATTCAGTTTTTCCGTCCCTTAACAGATTCCCCGTGATGAGCCACAACCATGGAGAAAAGCATGATTAAAGTGCACCTCAGTTTTAGCATAATTATAGTCATTTTGCTACGTCGAGTGTGGTTAAGACTAGCATGGAAACACGAAAAACTCGGACGACTAATCAATCGAAGGTCAACGTATGTTGAAACCCGGCGAACTATTCTTATGCTTTCCAAGTCCTGCGTAAAGGAAACCAAGCTTTTTAACGTCTAAAGCGCTCAAACATCCCAAATTTCAACCAAAATTGTGTGGTTTTGTTTCTCAAGTATATAATATTCGGATTGAGCCACCTCTGATGAAAACTAAGTTGCGCTGCGTGTGGTGTTTGTTGCATAGGGAACGTCATTGGCCGGAATTCCGAACTTTTGTAGACATGTCCTATTTCTGAAGAACGAGCACGATGATTTGGCATGCTTGGCCATGTCTTCTGCGTCAGTTTTATAACTTCGTGAAGCCATATATCAGCATAATATTTTGGGAAATATTAAAAAAAATCTTCATTGAGAACACCGATAAAATTATGGGTTCAAGTTTCAATATTTATTTTGACCTCACACTTTGTAAGACATCCATTCCATCAAAGAAATTTCTGTGTACAAGTTATCTTATATAGTTAATAACGTTATAGCCCATGAAAGCCAGATGTGACTACAAAGTTCTGTCTAATTTTTATAAAACTGCATCGAAAATACTGCTACACAAGGAATGTCAATATTAGTGTTGTTCGCAGTGCATTATCAGAAAGGACCAATTAGGAGTGTGTAAAAGTCTGGCATACCCCAATCTCCCACGAGAACGTTCTCCTAAAACCTCAAATTAAATACTGCTGTTTTGAATTATGTGGTTCCCCATGTACAAACCAAGAGAAATGCCTAACTTGGCCCAAGTTTGGCAACCTTAGGGGCCGAACTTAGGCTGAATAACCTAGGCAGTATGCAAGAATATTGCCTACCTTTGTTCAAAATCGCCAATTTTAAGGGCCTAACTTGGGCCTAATAAATTTTTGCTTCAATTCATTAGTTAAAGCCAAACAACTTCTTTTTTTAAATAAAGTAAAGATATTCGAATTCCAGCTTTTCCTGCTAAGTCACATAGCTGCCGGAATGCCGGACACGAACTAAAAAAGGCGAGTAAATACCGTACAACTAGCAATGAATCCTAGCTCTAGAATTTGCATGGGAAGTAAGCCTAATGGTGCCACATAAGAACCCAAACAAACAGGCTGTGAAGCCTAACTATGGCACTTTGATTATTTGGGGCCAAGGCTTCCAGTGGACAACCGAGATTAAAACAGTAAAACCCAACACTGGCTCTCGTTTGGTAATTTAGGTCCAAAGCACCCAGACTTTGGCCAAATATTGTCAAGTTAGGTTCTACCTCACCCTCTTCTGACTTTTCTGATTTTCGATTATTAAATTGCCTGGCACAGGGCTATAACCCTGTGAAAAGGCTGAGAGTATCAATAAATGAAAAGAGATGAATGAAATAAAATTAAATGCAGTCCAGAAGACTGTTACTTGGCGGTTTCGTTTTAAAGCGTTAGTTAGGTTTAAAGTACTTTTTTCTTGCTCTAAATAACCAGAGAAATGTCGAGTCTGGCCTTTCTTTGGTATGCCACAAAACTGCCAAAGTGCCAAACATGAACCTAAATTTAGGCAATGACCAAACAACCAGAGAGTGAAGCCGTAAAGACTTACTCGACGATTCAGGGCCAAGATACCCAGGCTCTGGCCAAAGAATATCAATTTGGTTGTGCACTGGTTTCTCATCAATTTCAAAGGCCTAGATTGACAAAATAAATTGTTGCCAAAAAACGATTAATTGGGTCACTACGCTTAATTACGCGGTACTAATCCAAATTGTTTTAAAACATTTGTTTACTTGCGTTTCATCTCCCTAATAACTTTGTTAATGTCTACTAAAATGCATACGTCTATCAAAATGCATCTGAAAGCTGTTATCGGTACTATTATGACGTTATTGACATCACATAAACGTATTAGCCGATAAATAAACAGAAATCTATACTGATTTTCTGCCAAATACTCACCTTGTTCAACGTTTAAGCCTAAGCCATTATGGCCATATGGTGTGTCCCTGAAGAAAAAACAATGTTGCAATTTTCATGTAGCACGATATACCGATGGAACAATATTATTATGTTTTAATATGTTTTTATTATTTACTACGTCTAGACGCTTGGATCCTTGTTAAGATAACACGTATGTATTTTAATTTTTTCGCGTAAGCGTGGGAGAGAAAACTAAAGCCGCTCGATCAGACTCTGAGAACATTTGCACACACAGAAGCAAACACATATACACTAAAAAAAAAAGGTCCCGCACCAGTTACCCTCTCCCAGAGCCGTGGAATCAAGTCAAATAAGTTAGCCCTAACTGCGGCAGTTCAAAATATTTTACATTCACATTTTATCATCTATTATTATATTCCAGAGATGTGAAGGCCTAGCACGCACAAAATTACCCGCGTTATATAAAACAAAACCTAAAGGAGACATTAATAGGAACCGCAGTAGCTCGATAAATATCGTGCAGCAGTGCTGGCAAAATATTTATATTAAGAGCCATTTAAACAGTAAGTAACGTCTCCTTACTATCTTGTGTTACTTTCTTAGTCACTGTGGCATCCATGCTTCGTTTAACACGTGTAAGAGTGTTCATTGAATCTACGACCACGCTTCATGCATGGCACGAATTTCCCGGTGACACCCGGTTGCAGCTCGATATAACCAGACGTTAAGCCCCCATAATGTAAAAAAGCATAATTAAAACAGTGCTGTGCGAACTGGCCTTTCTATTTCAATCAGTATTTGAAATATCCGCCGTTGAATATACAGAACGACTTCACTAAACAGTACGAGGTGAGTTGTTATTATATTTATTTCATCCCACACTCACTCCACCACAGACATTCAATTTTTTTATTCAAGCGTAGACTTTCACTCGTGTACTTGTCTTATCTCCGTGATTGTATCAACGCGCTCTTTACTTTTGTACGGCTGGACGTGTTCTGCGGAGAGTTTATTGCTGTGTCACCGGCCGAGCTCGCTTTATTAGCCCGCATTGGAAGGGGCAGAAATAGACCGAGCTGTTGGACGGGAGAGGAGGTTCTAGGTTTCGACGGAAAACGCCTGCAAATTAATGAATTATGATATCGTGACTAGGAAAAAAAACTCCCTAAGGCGAGAAAGTGTTATAAATGAAAAACCGAAACTTCAGTCTAAGTGGATGTGCAGAGAAATATTGCATTTTGTGTGCGTGCAAATGGCATGTGCTACAACCTCTGCCTCGCCGCATTTTCATAAAGACAAAAAACAAATAGTGCAAAAAGTGATACGCCGCTTTGTTAAAAAATTATATTTCTTTCTTTCTAAAGAATACAGATATACAAATTTTACCCTATTATCAGCGATGCAGAAAAACGCGCCATGCCTTGAATTCAACTCCAGTGCCCCTCCGCCGCACTTCAAACTATGAACAATGAACCAACTAGCCCAATTAACCAAATTTATACAAACTTAACATTATACAAAAATATATTACAAATTCTATCAAGATGACATAAATTAGAGCTCTTAATCATTTTTTCTCTCCTGTTGTACGATCCAATGGCAGGATGTTTAAGACTTTACAACTTAGCGCACCGAAATATTAGCTATTACTTTAATGTCAAACTTCATACTTCCAGAAAACTTGCGAGTTTGTTCTATTGATATCGGCTCATTTATAATTAACATTGAGAAATTGTTTTTCTTTGCCGTATGGGGTGATCACTAAGTTTTGCCTCCTAGGCTATAACTTTTTTTATTAGGTGATGGAATTGAAACATGTTACGTTCATATAAAGTATTGAAATCTCCACTTTCATAGAACCACATAACTTCTCAATATAGTCCCCACTCGCGGCGATTTACTTCCCTTGTAAGTGCGCTCCTTTTCTCATGCCATCATAGATTATTGAGGGCGGCAATTGAGAAGACCAGCGCCGCACCGGAAGACCTGCAGTTCCAAGATGTTTTTGCCTCATTCACCTTACAGCCACAACTTTACGCCATCAGCATTTGACTATTTCAAAGATAAAGTAACATCTCAAGGGTGCACGGATTGAGTCCGACGACGAGGTTACCGATGCGGTGCGACGTTGGTGTCGTCAAATGCCGCCCTCAATCAACTACGACGGCATGAGGAGAGTAGTGCACCGGTAGCGGAAATGCATCCCCGCCAGTTGGGACCAAACCGGAAAGTTATGTGCTCCTGGGGAGAAGAGAATCTCAGTTTTCATTTGAATACGACACCTTTTAATTCCATGCCTTAATATAAAAGTTACAGCCTAGGAAGAAAAACTTATTGACAACCCCTTATCATTGGATCGAATAAATGAAATATTAAGAATTTTATAACAAGTCATTCTCACAAAGGTAGAAAATCAGGGTAAAAAAAAACTCTGCGTATCTAATTAACCGGTCACAAATTAGCGAATGTTTCTAGCGGTGTCACATTTAATGGCATCAATTAAATGTCTGATTCAAATGCTCTACTCACCTTGTTACAAGGCAAAGAATATCAGGATTGTAGCTCTGAGAAAAATATGCTTTCATATAATCTACAACCGTACCGGCGTGCATATATCCACCAGTCGCCCATGTCTTAATTGCACTCAAAAATTGATCACGAGGCTAAACAAAAAAATTAAGGATATCGTTAAGTACATTTATATTAAAACCGCTATAAGTGTGGCGAAAGAAAAAAAACGGTTTGGTATATTTATATTAGCACACTTACGACATTAATGTCTGAAATTTCAAGTGTTATGTCCATGCCCAAATTCTTCTTCAACTTGGCTTCGGCCTGCAAAGAAATGTAATGAATGAACTAATATTTCATTTCATTTCATTTCATTTTATTACCTTAAAGACCCCCTTTTAGGGGGTATTACATAAGGGGTGGGGTTACAAAAATAATCAAACATAGGTGCTGGTCTTCAGGACGAGAGATGATTGGTAACATTTTCGAAGAAGATTGATGGGCAGGTGATGGCAGCAATGTGGTGGGGAAGGCCGTTCCAGTCTGGAGCTGCTCGGGGGAAGAATGACGCAGAAAAAGTGACAGTGCGAGCGCGTGGGCGAGCAACCTGGAGAGGATGACTGGTGCGGTGAGATATGCGTGTGGGAGGTACGATGTAAGGTGAGATACAGAGGGGGGAATTAAATAACTTGTGAAACAAACAGACGGTAGCGATGCGGCGACGACAAGCGAGACTAAGTAAACCTGATTCAGCTTTCAGGGGTGATAAGCTGGTATGGTACGAGTATGAAGAATAAAGAATATAAACAGATGCGCAACAATTACTTGTGGTCATAGTAATGTTTTAGTTTATTAATTTGTAATGCATTATTCCTTAAACCAACAGAACATATATAGATAAGCACTTGTTAATCTTCCCTTACTCCCAATATCAGGGTGTTGAACCGAAATGTTTTTCGTTCCGGTTTTCGTTCCGTTTTTGGGAAAACGGTTCAGCTCCGGTTCAACTCCGGAGTGAAAAAGTAAAGGTTCAAACCAGTTCGAACCGGTTCGTACTCATGTGCAGCAAAAACAATTGACGGCAGCAAAAGATAAACTATGCATATTTTTTTAAAGTGTTTCATATAAAAAATTGAAAGCCGTTTACAACTCCCTGTAACGCCGAATTGGAGCGCAGCTCTTGAGGAAGAGGAACGAAGGGCACTGAGGGGAAGGTAGACCTCTCCTCCTCCTCCTCCTCCTCCTTCTCCTCCTCCTCCCCTCATTCTTCAATATGCTCCGGGGGGTCACCTGACCTCGGGGGGAGGGGGTCACGTGACCTCGGGGGGGGGTGTTGCCTGACTTCGGGGGGGGGGGGGGGGAGTGTCGCGTGACTTCGGGGGAGAGGGAGGTCACGTGACCTCAGGGAGGGCGACCACGTGACCTCGGGGGTCGCGTGACCTTAAGGGGTCACGTGACCTGAGGGGTCACGTGAACTTGGGGGTCACGTGACCTTGGGGTGACCTTGGAAGGGGTGACGTGACCTCGAAGGGTCACGTGACCATGGGAGGGGTCACGTGACCTTGGGGTGAACTTGGGAGGGGCCACGTGACCCCCACGTCACCCCCGAGGTCACGTGAGGTCACGTGACCTTGGGGTGACCTGGGGGGTCACGTGACCTTGGAGTGACCTTGGGAGGGGCCACGTGACCTTGGGGGCCATGTGACCAAGTCAACGCAATAGGGTGGTAACTAGAGGCACTATATCTGTCTTTTTCTGGTTTTAAAAAGGCAATTATGATGGGTTGTTTTTCTTCACTCATTAAGTAGCTGCATTTCTCTCCATACGCGATTAAAAAATCACATGATTCAGTGAGATGGGTTAGAAAGATTTAATCGACTTTATCGGGAACCTGGGGCTGAAGGCTTTCATGATGTAACAGCATAACATAGCTCATCAAGTGCAAAAGTTAGTTGCACTCTTCGTTGTTGTTGCCAGTAGTATCAAGCCTAACCTTCTGTGCCCTTGCCTTGTGACTTAAGAAGTTACTGTTGTAATTTCCACATCCTGATATTCTTTGGAACTGCTTGCCCAGAAAGCTAGCTTGCTCTTCCAGCAAGCAGGGAGTATCAGCGCCTGGTGACGAAATTAAGGGAATATAATACTGACGGTAGTCTCCGTCTCTTTTCCTGACCCTGCCCCAGATGACCTCGATAAGTGTTGAACTATTGATAAAGCAGGCATAGCCAATCCAGTACTTTTTTGCCTTCTTTCAGACATAGCGTGCTTTCGCACATTTCTGCTTAAACGACAAGATATTTCGAGGAGTTGGATATTGACGTAGAATTCACCAAGTTTTATTTTATTGTTTTCTCAGCTTCACAGCACCACCAAGGCTTATAATGTTCAAGCAAAAAGGCTGTCGTTTCGGAAATAAAAACCTGCGCTGCCTCTATTAAGATTGTACTGATATGGTCGTTTACTTTATTGAAAGGAAGCATGTCAAGGAGGTCATGGGAAAACAAAGCAGTATTTTGAAAAAGCACCCAGTTTGCAGTTTCAAGCTTCAACCGGGAAGGACGTGACGCTAATGTAGGCAGAAGTTGAGGCCAGGTGAACTGGGAAGAGATCACTGTCATATTGGTTATCAATCACACAGTACTGAAAAAAGGTAAATATATCCGGGGAACAAATGGAAAGATCAATACAAGAAAAAGAGTGGTGAAGTGAGCTGAAATATGTTGGTTCACCAGTGCTAGGCACACATAGTTACTTTTGATGAAACGTAACGCTCAATCACGTTTACCCGAACCGTTGACTCCCCCAAAATGGGTTGTGTGCATTAAAATCCCCAAGTATAAAAAAGGGCTCTGGCAATCGACCAGTCAACAGATCAAGATCTTCTGTTGATAAGAAAAATGAGGGTGGTATGTACAAGGAGCAAACAGTAAGCAGCCAACCAAGTAAAATATTACTGCAACAGCCTCTAGAACGGTGGCTAGAGTTACTTCACGGGCTGCAACATCACTCTTCACAACAATGGAAACTCCTGAAAATCAAGCGGAGGTTAACCGACCCTTTGTTAAAATTTGGCACGACTTTCAAAAATTGGTATTCGATAGTTTTAAGTTTGTTTCTTAAATACAGAGTGCTACTGGCTCATTTTTTCTGGAGCAGAAAATTTCCATCAACTAAACCTCGAAAAAGCCCTCTGCAACTCCATTGCATAAGGCCTTGGCCCTAAAAACCAAAAACAAGAGCACTGTGACTTATGGTCCAATGATCCTGGTCATTGTCTTCTTTGAATCCCTACTCTTGGGTGGGTTTTGAGGCTCTACTTGAGAGGAGGTACCTTCCGTCTGCGACAGGGTAACCTTAATCTCCTCAGCTAATGTCTCCGAGCCTTTCGTGCGTCTCGGTGTATGTCCACCTTTTTTTGGTGAGTTATGCGAACCACCCTAAGAAGAGGTGCCTTCCGTCTGCAACGGGGTGGCCTCCATCTCCTCTGTTGAAGCATCAGAGACTTTCCTATGGCTCGATGCAGCAGCTGTGTGTGCAGCTTAGTTGGAACTCCCAAGGAGTTGGAGTCGCAACCTGGTACGTGGGAACCTAAGTGGTTGCGTAAGCACCGAGGACACTTGCGTTCCCACAGTTGCCGTAGGCGATGCAGGTCCCCAGCGCACCACCTCGACAAATGAACCTCTTTTAAACCAAAAGATGCGTCGCTTCGCTTCAAGGTAGGTAATTCCTTCTGTCACTTTCAGAGTCAGAATTTCGTGTTCTTTCTTGACACGATCACAAGATCTGAAATATGCCAGGTAGTTTTCTTTATTGCTAACACACCAGGGACCTTCGTGGCAATCATCAGCAAAGTGCTCGCTGCTTCTGCATTAAGCGCATCTCTCCCGACCACGGCAGGAACGCAAGCCGTGCCCAAACCGCTGGCAACGGCAGCAACGGATAGGGTTTGGCACGTAAGGTCGGACCCTACAATTCAAATATCCTGCGTCAACAGAGGACGGTAGGCTATTTAGTTAGAAGGTGAGGATGATGTGCTTTGTAGGGATTTCCTTTCTATCCCTTCGGATGGTGATATATACGTTTGGCAGCGACAACGGCCTGGCCATGCATACCTTCGAGAATTTCTTCCATGGAACAGTCTATGAGGTCATTCTCTGAAATAACACCGCGGACGGTGTTCAGCGCGGTGAGCAGACACGATAAACTTTGTTTCCTGGATAGAGTTAAGGCCGTGCAAAGCCACTGCCTTTTTTTTTCGACTACCTCTAGTAAGAGGTCACCAGTAAGCATCTGTTTTCAGTTAAACCATTCCCCTAAGAATCCTTTCAACACCTTTGCAATAAGGAAAGGTGACTGACATTTTAGACAGTGCTTGGGTGCGTCCTCGGCATGAACTACGATTTGGTGATTTAGTCAGTGTTACATCGTGACTCCGAAGGAAGAAAGGTTTCTTCGTTGCGGACCTTTTCCAGGGACCGATCAGAGATTTACTTTTGCTTGAAACCCATATAGATGAGAAGGAAAGTTCAGTGCCCGAGTGCACCACCCACCACAGAGCCAAACAAGAGGGTAGGTAATGTTCCATGGCAAGAAGGGCTTGGCTGAAACAATTACACTACCAGTTATGCCCGGGCACTATAGCCGAGTGTGGTTGCAGGGGCAATTCCTGTTTCCACTCAAGGTTGGCCCTTGCCGCCTAAGGTGAAAAAAGAAGGAAGAGACTGTAAGGGAAAAGAGAAAGTGGTGGAAGGAAAAGTGAGTGGATGAAAGGGAGGGTAGAGAAGGCGACTGGCTGAATTATCCTGGTATGGCCAAGCCAGGACACCCGTCTACGAGAAGCAGGGTCCAAATGTACCCCGAGCTCAGCTCAACCACCAAGAACCCTTTTTCCCCGGAGCGGGGTTAAGCCACGCACAGCCAAGCGTAATGGGCGAACCCACATGACTCGGAGTTCGTAGCGACGCCACTCACCAAGCACCTACTAAAGCAGGTGCCCTTGCGTGCGGTAAGGTGGCCCACGGTGTTGGGGTCCGTGGTTAAGCTACCCATCAAACACCTAGCACCTAAGGTGCAGGTGCCCCCCGCGGGGCTCGGGGTACATAGAGACAACTCTCTCCAATCACCTGCTTTCAGAGGTGCCCCCTGTGGGGATATATATATATATTCTTCCAATGCTTGCCTGCGCCCATTCTTTATGAAACCGCAATATGCTTGCTCATCACTTTAGAAGAAAACGTAGAACTCAAGCTGCGTAATGTTGATACACAGCTAATCTGAAATAAATAAAGGCAGTATCTTCTTTGCATTGTCACTAATTACTGTGGAAGTGACGAATAATACAAAATGTTACGCATCATACACATAGTTTAGTACTACTTATAACGACTGTTTACTTATGCCTCACAAAAGCCCTCCGTATGGGGTAGCCCATACCCGGCTTATTGTTCGCGCCTCACTATTCGGTGCTAAACGTGGCCCCGTTGAAGTACTAAGTGGCTGAGCCAGAGTGTTTCCTTCTTTTCTCTTTCGTGAAAACTCCCCATTGGAGCCTAAGGGCTCCAATGGGGAGTTATGACCAAAAACGTAGCAAAACGCTGTGGAGAAGGAATGGCCTTTCAGGAAGCAGAGTTTTGGGACAAAAAACGTTTTCGCATCGCGTTCTGAAAATGTCGATCCTACACTGAACTCACGAGCAGGAGGCATATTCACACTTTGAACGTTATTGTTTTCTACTTAGACGAATGCAGAATATTAATTTTTTTATAAGGCGAGCGGTGTTTTAAAGCGGTCAACGGCAAGCCGACCCCAACTACACAGCGTATGTATGGCTACTAAAAAGTTAAAAAGATGATTAGCGAATTTTAGTTAATTAGGTTACTAATTGCATGTTTATACTCGTGTACCATCGTCGAGCGTATTAGTTTATCAAAATTGTTCTTATATCTAGTATATTTTTCGAAGTTTTTTTCCGTCCTAAGAAAAACACCCACAAGAACGGTTAGAAATAAGTAATACATTTGACTCTAGCACATTAACATTCCGAAAGCGCTGCGAGACATTACAAAAATATTAAATCAATAAAACCAACAAAAATTGTACCACACGTCTGAGTAACAGTTTTGATTTAAGCGGTTTTCGCAGAGGGTAAAAAATGTTTCTCTATTTCATTTTCAGAATATATTGTAGCATGCTAAAACACTCTCCAATAGTTTTGCTGCCTCGTGTGCTCCGTCTTAGCATACTGGTGGACATGTTACCTGATTTGTGACGTTCGCCAGCCATTTTCCGACTTCGGAGTCCAATCTTGCGTCTAGTTGTGTAAATCCATCCAATTGAAAGCCGATTGTAATGGTCTTATTAGCTATATATTTTGATTAAAAGAAACACAAGGCATATTGTGAATTAAAATATATTTTACACTTAAAGGGACACCGACAGGGTATTTATACTCGCCGAGGTTTTTAGTTGTACGTGACATATGAGAGCCCAACTACCCAGAAAAGAATTTGCGGCTCGAAATTCGGTTTCTTTCCGCCCGAAAACTGGCAATCAAGAACTGGCCGGTTTGAGTCGCGCTCATTCTCTTTTCCGTGATCACGGGTCGTTTTCTAAGGTTTCGACGCCACCACCAAATTTAATCAAAGTCGTAGGTCACTGTAGCCACACACTCAATACTAAAAATAGAAAAAAAATAGAAAACCAATTTTTTTGTGGCTTTCGAAAAGCTGCAAATACGTGGATTGAAAACGAAAAAAAAAGTTGCACAGACAACCGTAAGCATTCTGTGCGTTCACTGCATATAATTCTCAACATGGCGTCATTTCGCTTTTTGTGGGACTCGCGTGTGGCAGCGGACGACAGGCGTGGGACCTCTGCTTCAGAACTGTTGTTGACGTTACCGGCGAATTCTGTCTTCCTTCGAAAGAGAAATTTTGGACCGATCAGAAGAATTGATATTCATCCCATACGACACTCGCAACCAGCAAGCCGATTGCACGAAGACGTCGCCGAGCCGTCGTTTCTTCTTGTGGCTGAAGACATCGCTCGCTCAAATGTCAAGCACGAAGTGCGTACATCGAGCTGAATACGCACGCGTACGGTTTCTTTACTGGTGCGAATGTGGCCAATCCGTGGTGCTGCCCTCCTTCAAGCCGGGAGTACATGTACTGGAGGGAAATCGGCAGCAAACTTTACGACATACAGTAGACCGGATCAGTGCCTCCTATATAAGGTGCACTATGCCTATGGGCTGGCAAGCAGAGTTCGGCATTTTAGGTCGCCCTCACTCACCCTCACCCTCACAGCCACACTCACCTAAGCCCTTCACTCACTCTCACCCTCACAGCTACACTCACCTTCATCCCCTCACTCACCCTCATCCTCACAGTCACACTCACCTTCAGCCTTCACTCACCCTCACTGTACCTCACGGCCCTCACGGCCCTCACACCCCTCACACCCCTCACCACCCTCACAGCCCTCACGCCCCTCACCGCCCTCACGGCCCTCACGGCTCTCACGCACTCATGGCCCTCACGCCACTCACCGCCCTCACGCCTCTCGCTCACTCATGGCCCTCACGCCCCTCACGCACTCACCGCCCTCACGGCCCTCACACCCCTCACCGCCCTCATGACCCTTACGCCCCTCACCGTCCTCACGGCCCTCACACATTCATGTCCCTCACGCCACTCACCGCCCTCACCGACCTCACCGCCCTCACCGCCCTCACGGCCCTCACGCACTCATAGCCCTCACGCCACTCACCGCCCTCACGCCCCTCACGCACTCACCACCCTCACGCACTCACGGCCCTCACGCCACTCAGGCCCGCTTCAGATGGGGCAATTTCGCCCAGAAACTTTACGTCGCAACACCAGCAACACGGGCCACCCGCGATCACACGCAGCAACCAATGGCTGCAATTTGCCATCGTCATCATAAAATTTATTTTTCTTGCACTATTTAGACACAGTTACGCGTTATAAACGTGTTTTTGTGCATCTAAATCTCGTTAAGAATACTAATGCACCTTTCTGAAACAGTTTAGTTCCAAAAACGATCGATTTCAAACCAGAACCAAGTCTTTCGGTGTCGTCCTCTCCGGCACGAGGTATCACGTGAAAATTTTGCGTCCCTGATTGGATGCAGCCGCTTCAAACGCCTTCGAATTGCTCCGAGTTGCTTGCTTATTTCGAGCCGGACCCGATCTCAGCAATTCGTGCTGATCTAGGGAAAGCTAGAGAACAACCCTCCATCAACACCAAAATTGCTGAGAAAGATGCTCCATCTGAAGGGGGCCTCACGCACTCACCGCCCTTACGCACTCATGGCCCTCACACCCCTCTTGCACTCACCGCTACTATTTCGTGTGCGCTGCATCTCCTGCTACATATCATGTAGACCGCTCGGATATTAAATCATCGTAACCTTTTTACGCTAGGGCAGTCATCGTGCGATCTCCTGCGCAGAGACCTTTTTTTCCATGAGACGAGCGGTGGCGTTTGGGATCAAGCATCAGTAATGCGTCTCCTTGTCGCAGACACTAAACGATCGAGACCCCTAACTACAGCGTGCCCACAAATCCGGAGGAAGCTTTTTGAAGTGACCAAATAAATCGGCTTGATCACGTATCGCGCTACGATTTACCACAACTGCAACAACCTATTTCGGCGGCCGCTTCTCGTGGAAGACCTTTGCAAAAATATCGCTCTGACCGCAGCCATTTTGCGAATCAAGCGACCCCTATCAGCCAGAAATTTCTGGCCACAAGCCTGAGCTGCGGAAACCCGGTCAGCGTGACTCCCCACCCGCATTTTGCATTCGGAGTTCACCGGCTTTTCTTGGAAGTTTTTACTTTATTCGCATATTTAGGATGCTTACCCTTTGTATGTTATCCTCCACTGTGTGAACGAGAGAATACCAGGGCTCGTAGCCTGCTCGGCCTTCGCAGGAAACGAACGAAGAGAGCGAACATCAAGCAGCCCGCGACGCAGGCAGTTCGACGTTCTTGAAGGATTATTTCCGTTGAGATAATCTCCAAAAACCTTCCCGGCTGTGTTCCGGGTTTTCGCGACAAATAGCTGATAGGGTCGGGTCCGGGGTGTGGGGACAGAATAGACACGTTCGTTCACTTGCTTTGAAACTGTGCAAAAAAGCTGCTCTCTTCTAGGGAGCGCACATGAAGGCTCCCTACTCCCTTCTACATGTTCCCCAAAACACGCCGAATTTTGTCCGATTGTCGTGAAGTGACTATCGCCAACACTGTATATCAGATATGCTGTGTTATTTGACACCATTCTCAAATCCTGTTCGGATAACGCGGCACCGTGGGGTACGTACAATATATGTTTTTTCGATTGATGAGACTCATTGAATTTCATGTTGTGGGCGGGGAATATCCATGCAGTTCGAATATCCTGCGTGGTCAAATATTTTGACCTAAATAGATTGACACGGCTGAGTGTACGGTGCCGTAAAACGATGAACATACAATGAAACAAACATTCCAGTTGCATTTTTTTCTGTCGCACACGAACTCACCAAAACAGCTTTCATTTCTTTGTTTTTGTTCCCAGAAATAGAGCACTGCTTTCTTAAATACCTCTATAAATTATTTTCGCCACAGAACACAACATAAAAAAGAAAACGCGGCAAGTCAGCCACTACCAGCGTCCGGAATTGCGCATACGCAGGCTGCCACAGCCCACTGACGAGAAACTCCACAGCTCAGCGCAGTCGGGCAACACTGACATACACTCTCAAAACCAGGGACGCGCGCTGTAAATCGCGTCGTTCGAGACTGCCGCTGGAAAGGTCTGTAGAGGAGGCTATGGTTCAACACGCTCGTCCCTTCCTTGCAGCTCGTATGGCAAACGCAACCCATGACCCACGCTCAAGCTTTCGTATTATATCATCCCCGCTAGCGTCACATTCTTACTGAGTTTCTGCTTGCTGGAAGCGCAGTTTATTTTATTTTTCAGGCCGACAAACCTGGCTTCATTTTCTTGATCAGACTTTATACTTCGTTGCATCTTATGTCCGAACGCAACCCATGCCACGTGGCGCCAGGACCAACCGAACTCCGGCTTTAAAACGCATGATTTCATCTCTGCCATGTGTGTCACTTTGCGCGGCGCATCAGCCGAATATCTGAAGGTGATGATTTCGTCTGCTACAGGAGAATCGACGGTTTTGTCTGTTACAGCTTTATAGGTGTTGTTTCTTGTTTTGCGTTTTTTTTTTATCTGTATCAGGAGCACTCACGCTTGATGTATTTACCAAGCTTAGCTAAATTTTATTTTATTATTTTATTTATACATACAGCTAACCTTTTTTCGGTGGGTGTGGTAGGAGGAGTCACAAACTCGTTGATGCACAACAACTTATACATAAAAAATACATGCAAGGAACTGAACAAGAATACGCTTGGAAATGCAACAATAAAAACAAAACAATACAATAAGAGCGCGACGGCAAGAACTTTTAACGAACAACTCTCCAGTAGACTTTAAAATATCTCAGCTGATGACGAGTTGACGTGGTCTTGAGTAAGGTTATTTCACTCCAGTGTTTGTAAGAATTGCTACGACAAAGGTACGGAACGAATGCTAGTTATGCAGTTTGCGCGTAGCACGAACCAGTCAGAGAGTTAAATACCTTCAGGTATCAATGTTAAAACTACCTGTTAGCAAGTAGTATAAGTATTTAACCCTCGCTCTGCGACGCCGAGTGGTTCAAAACTCATCTGAGCCTTTTCATAGAGTAGCGTTACAATTTCGTTTCTTATATACTGGTCGAATAATTTATTTATTTATTTATTCGGGTTACCTCGCAGCGCCCGAAGGCATTATGACAGGGGGAAGGGGTACATAGTTAGTACTGAAGGTAGGAATACACTCGTGCGTATGTACCGTAAAAACAAGGAAACGCAGGCACACAGGAAAGTAACCTCATAAACAAAAGCGAGCCCGGAATAACATAGGACCGTTCAGATAAGATAAAAACAAAACAGCGCAAAGACAAGGACGAAGTAGAAGCAACCACAGGACACAGCGCTGACTTTCAACTGAACATTTATTCGTGTAGGCGTCTGAATAAATCTTCAGTTGAAAGTCAGCGCTGTGTCCTGTGGTTTCTTCTACTTCGGCCTTGTCTTTGCGCTGTTTTGTTTTTATCATGTCTACTTACCAACTAGCATAAACTTCTACGTTCACCGTTCAGATAACAACGGTCATTCGGGTGTCATGCCCATGATTGAGTTTTCAATAAAACGTTTATATAAATAAGAAAAACATGCATGCTCACACAACTAAACGGACCTTCCTACTGCAATATATTACCTTGTTTAAAAAACATTAA